TAATTTCAATTTCACATACAACATGGTCATATTTCCAGAGTGGAATTTAATATAGACTTCTATTAATAATGAAGTTGCCATTGATTTCAGTCATAACATCCAAATTTGTTAATGATCTATATATTTAATTTCTACTAATGTAACTAGAGGTCGTACCCACTAATCAATTAAATTTAATATCGGAATATCGCTTGTGAATGATCAAAATATTCAGATATTCATTGATTATTAAATTAATATGATTATTCATTGATTATTCAGTGAATATTTATTGTTAACAAAAAATTTTAAATTTCAAAAAAAAACAATATTTTCAAATAAAAGTGGATTAAGTTTTGTTCTTTTTGAGGTCATTGTATTTCTAATAAGAGTATAATATAGTTAGATATAGTAGATTCACCATCAGAAGCTTCAGAGACATTAACTCGACAAATAGCTCCTTTAGATTTTTCTCCATCATTTTTTACAATTTCAGTCAGTTTCTTCGACATCTTTACTTTTCTTTCTTCGAAACATGAACAACAGAAGACTCCTCCTCTCTCATTGTTGTATTATTATTTTCACCTATTATAGTGATTCTTCCATTTTAAGTGAAATGGTTAATTTTAATTTGGTCAATCAATTAATGAAAAAATCAAATATCCAAGTTAACCGGTGAATATTATTCATTGGATGCAAGCCTCTATTGCTAACTAATGGATAAATAGCGTTAACCTGCTTGACAAGTTTCTTTGTCACGTAATTTATTTATTTTAATTGGTGGATCTCAACAGCCAATGATTGGATTTTTATCTATCTATACACTACGATTGGCTGATTAGAACCTTCCAAATTTGATAATAGATAAGAATTGACCAGCTGCGGCAATAACCTACTGTAGTTTTCAGGGCCCTTTCTTACCACACCCACCTCGGATATTATAGACCAGTAACAAAAAATCATGGATTTGACCCACACAGTGATTGGTAGTTAGTTTTTTCACATATCGTTATTATATAGTTTTCGGGGTCCTGGTTTGAT